TCCAAACGAGCCACGGCACAGCGTACAAGAACAAGCTACGAACAAAACTCCATCAAGCCAACATTACCTCACCTTAGAAGCGTTCTTGGGGCAGCATGACTTAGCCATGCCAGCATCCCAGAAGACGAGGGCAATCATCCCTTTACGCCACAAATGATCGTCTTGAAAATAGCCAAACTACAAGCGCTGGTGAAACAGCGAGCTACGTCATACCTGTGCAGGAAAGCTCGCCCCTCCGCGACGTCTAGTCAGCAATTTCTACTCCAATACCACTCCCAACGCTGCAGAACAAAGTGTATTGTTGATTCTGACAAGGAAAAGCAGCGGTGATCACTTGTCACTCCAAACGACAAGCTTCTCCTTGCGCCACCAACATTTTTCGGTGCAACAGTTGATGCAAAAGTGACTGAATTTTTGCGTGTAGTTTTTGGATTTTACTGCAAGAGGAATGATGAAATCACGGGGGTGTTGAGCAAGTGTATGTGTTGTGGGTAATATAGGTATTTTTTGGAGTGGGCAAGAAGGGTGAGCTTCACTTTGCGGCGAGAAAACATTGTCGGCCATTTGAGCCGATGGAGCAGTGTTGAATGATTCAGAGGAGTGTAGAGGGGGAGACGGAGGCAGATTCTGGCCGCCTTGCGCTGGATTCGCTCAAGACGGTCAAGGGCTGCGATTGAGAGCGGGGTGACAGCAATGCATGTATGTTCAATTATAGGCAGGATATATGTTTTGTAAATGGGAGAGAGTGATTTAGTGTGTAGAGTTGATTTGAGCCTAAAGAGAATAATATTAAAAGATTTTACGGCTTTCTTCAGCACAAAGTCAAGGTGGGCTGACCATCTTAGGTCGTGCTGAAAGATGATGCCGAGGTGACGATGTTGTGTTACTGTTTCTAGTAGGGTTTGCCCAAGTTTTATTTCGGGTAGTCGTGGTGGGGGTCGGTTAGCATGGTAGAACGGGAGGATGACGGTTTTCGTTTATTGACTAGCAGGTGCCAGCGCTCTAGCCATTCTGCTGCGGCATCGACGCTTCTTTGTAGCGCAGCCTCACACTCAATGTAGCTGCCTGCAATGGCAATTAGTGTGGTGTCGTCCGCGAACTGGCTACACGAGGTTGTAGCATTTTCGCAGACAGTGGGCAGGTCAATGGTGTACGCCAGTAATAGAAGTGGTCCCAGTACCGAGCCCTGGGGCACGCCCGCTGGTATTGGTATGTAGGCGGATGTTGTGCCTTCAACCTGCACCCGCTGTCTGCGTCCTGTCAAGTAGGCTTCGAGCCAATTGTGAGCCTTGCCGTCGACACCGTAGTGGCTCAGCTCTTTCAGCAAGCCTTGATGCCATACACGATCAAAGGCTTTACTGAGATCGAAGAAACACGTAACAACATGCTTCCCCGCATCCCTAGCTGTGGATATCTGGTGGACGATCCGTGTGAGTTGCAGTTCGGTCCCGTCTTGTTTCCTGAAGCCGGATTGGTTGGAGGGTAAGTGCGGTGCTATGTGATTGTACAGACGAGAGTGGACTATTTTTTCTTGTGTTTTTGATATTATACTGAGCAGGGAGAATGGTCGGTAGTTGGTAGGATGGGAGGGTTTGCCCGACTTGGGGATGGGTGTAATAGTTGCGTCTTTCCAATCCTGTGGTATTTTTCCGGTTCTGAAGGACAGATTGTAGAGACTAGTGAGAGATGGAGAGATTTCCTTTGCAGTTTCTTTCAGGAGCCGAGATGGGATGTGGTCAAAGCCTGGACTCTTGCCAGTGTCTAGACTGCTTAGAAGCTTCTCGACCTCTTCCACTGTTGCTGCGATTGTATTTAGCGTATGACTGATGTCAGGGGTAGTGTTGATGTCTGTCGTAGTACAGGTGGTCTTGTCGATGGACTGCTGGCTTTGGGAGATAAAGAACTTGTTGAGAGCTGTTGCCTTCTCCATAGCCGTGGCTGCAGTGGAGTTGGCTGTCAATAGTGTGGGAATTGTTTGCTTAGGCTGTTTCTTCAGGTGCTTCAGTAGACGGTGGAGGTTTGTACCCGTTGACGTTGTTTGCTGGACGAACTCGGACTTAGCCTGTCGCAAAAGAGCGGTTACTCGGTTACGCTGGGCTGTGTACAGTTTCCAATCTGAGTCTAGTTGGGTCGCCTTGTAGGTGCGGACCTGTTTGTGCTTTGTTTTGATCTGGCTGAGGAGATCCTTCGTCATCCAAGGACGAGTGGGCATAGTATTTTTGCGGGATTTGCTTCTGGTCACTTGGCAATGGTGCACGGCTAGTTTCAGTATCTGGTCTCTCCGGAAGTTCCAGAATAAGGTTACTGGCTGAGGGTCAGTGGGATGTGGATTGTACTGCAGATTGCAGGTAGCAAGAGCTTCACGCAGGGACGCAATGCGTTCCTCGCTCCACAACCAGTATGTGCTGGAGGTGCTCTGCTGTGTAGTTCTGCTCTCATTTATTTTTTATTATATGTGGTTTTATTGTTTCTGTGGGTGGTGTGCTGCTGGGGTCGTAGGTTGCCTTGTATGACAACATGATCAGAGGCACCCATAGGGGGCAGGCTTGTGATGGTGATGTTGTGGCGGCTGAGACTAGAGATGGCCAGGTCCAGGCACGATGTAGGTGTGTGTTGGCGTAGGTGGGTGGCAAAGGAGACGTGTTGTGTGAGGCCACGAGTCTCGCACAGCCAATGCAGGTCCTCACCTAAGGCATCAGTGGTGTAGCTGGGGTGCCACAAGCAGTTCTTGGCGTTGAAGTCGCCAAAGAGTAGTATCTCATCCTGGGGGGGGGGGGTCTTTCAACTAGCTTTATGGCTCTCTCCAGTTCCATCACGAACTCTGCCGGGTCGGACCGCGGGGGACGGTAGATGTTACCTGCCACAAGGGAGGCTTGGCCGATTGTTATTCTAATCCAAATACATTCCGCTTGAGTCATGGGAATAGTAATTGTCTCGTGTTGGCAGCTGTGTGGTATGTATGTGGCAACTCCTCCACCAAAGGTGTCCCGGTCCGCTCTTACGCGTTTGTAGCCGTTGATGGCGTACATCCCGTCGCTGTCCGATAGATCCGCCCAGGTTTCCTGGATGGCGATTATTGACGGTTGTTGCAACTCTGCCACGTGGCTTAGCTCGTCCATCTTGTTGAACAGGCACCTGACGTTCGAGCTGATGAAATTTGCGACCTCCATTATTTTTTATTTTTTTATTTTATTTGTTCCGTTTTTTTGGTACTTCCGCAATTGAAGGTGTTGATCTCACTGATATTGTGTGGAGGACAGCGCTAGGATTGAGTATCCTGTGACACCAGTGCGCTGAAGCGTGAGCCCTGTGCTGGGGCAAGGGGTTGGCTTTGGCCAGGGTCGATGTTGTTGCTCTCTTTTTGTTTTTTGGAATTTTTGAAATCAGGTGAGGATTCCGCATTGGGACTGGGTCTCCTGCACCGTTCGGTAGTAATCCAGGGGTTTGGTGGCTGGTTAGACATGTCTGTGTTAGTCACCAGTGAGGAGAGGAGGTCTTCAGCACGCGCCGAATCTGGGTAATTACACTTTGTTGTCGGAGTAGTTGTGTTGGTGTGCGGTGAGTTGGATGTTGTCGTACTTGTATTTGTGCTGCCTGGCGGCGTTCCGGGGTGCACCGTCGTGCTGGTTGCCGACATGGGCGACGCGATGTCGTGTTCGTACGACTCAAACTGGTTGTTGACTGGGTCGTTTGGGTGCGGGCTCGGGAGCAGGTCTGCTTTCGGCGTGGTGTTGGCGTCGTCGGAGGCCGTTTGGGATACGGCGCTGGCGTGGGTCAAACTCTAGGGCGCTTTTGGTGCCGAATCGGTACGGTGAGACTCCGCTTCAGCTCCGCAGTTCATGTTCCGCTCTGTGCTGCCAGTGCTGCTGCCTTCTCTGCCGGCATGCGTGGAGGTGTGTGCACTGCGACGGTTTTGGCAGGTACGCGCGATGTGACCTAGCTGTGTGTGCCTACCTAGCCTGCGTGTGCCTACCTGGCCGTCTTAGATGATGCGGAGTTCGTGGTAACCTTCAGTCGTACGCAGGTACGACGGGATCGAACTGCCTGGTTTGAGTTCGAACGTGGCGAATCGCACACCAGTTGCTGTTTGTGTGCCGTTTGAAAGTTGTGTGCTGTTTGAAAGTTTGATTTTGCCGTGTTGTATCTCACCGATAAGCTTTCCGTACGGTGAGAGCGCAGCTTTTAGGACACCGTCTGAGATCCAGATCGGAGCATCATGGATGTGTAACTGTGTTGTTGGTGCGGAAACGAAGCGTGGTGAAACCCGTTCGCCCTTGCAATCGAAGCCATTGAGCACCAACAATTTGGCTTTTTCATATGACTCAACGGTAAGTCTACATTGACCCCTGCTTGTTGTCTGCATCGAAATGATGCCGTTGATACCTTGCTCTTCTAGAAGCTTTATGTAGGCCCCCACGCTTACCTGGGCTTGCGAGGGGAATACAACAGTGGTCTTCTTCAGTGTCGAAGACGAGAGCTGTCGCCAGGGCTCCGTTTCAGCTCCGTTTCCGGCCATGACGCCTGGCGGTTGTAGTGAATCAGCACTCTAAGTGATCTAGTTTGCCACCTGTGCATCCACAGCCATACGGGCTGGGAGCGGACTATTATGCTAAATAAACTATGGAGCTCCAAAAACTGCTTCCGCTCTCCAGCTGGTTGTATCACTTTTGATCGTTTTGGGCCTTGTTGTCGCACTATCTCACTGTATATTATCACGTGTGTATCATGCGATGCTTCAAAGCTACTTCATGAGAGAGATAAATTTAAAGAACAAGTTAAAGGTATGCACAACCAGGTAGACAGTCTGATGTAGACACATATATACGACTTCTTGAGTGGCAAATGACATATATACGACTTCTTGAGTGGCAAATGACATATATACGACTTCTTGAGTGGAAAATGACATATATACGACTTCTTGAGCGGCAAATGACCATAAAATCAGCAGATTAAAGATCAACATGGAAACCAACACCAATAGTCGTAGAGCAGCATACCTGTACATTGGCCCCCGTCTCCAGAGTAACCGACATTGCATCGGCATGTGAAGCTACCATCCATATCATTACACGTGGCATTGTTATGGCATGTATGACTTCCACCAATACATTCGTCAATATCTGCAGAAAGACAAAAGTAATCAATATTGTGGTAACTGTTGCATGTTGAAACACTTCAATACCTTGCTTAACCATTGTTGTCAGTGTGGGACAACCATTTTTAGCATTTCAGCCTTAGGTATAACAATCTTGACCATTCTCATCTTTTGCAAACGGCAGTTAAACCTAACAATTGGAGGTATGGGCATTCGCAAAACCCCGATATTTATTTTTAAAAGAATAATTGTCACCATCTGAGTTATGCACCCTGTGATGGCAAATGTGCCATACAGCGCCATGAATGGTCGTACAAACGCCTTATACACTGTCGTCCGGCCGGCGGGGTGACGATGTGGGCGGCTCTGTTTAGGGCCCCAAGCCGTTGGCATGCTCGGGTGGCTACGGAGTATAGGTGATCGCCAAAGGTCATCTTGGCGTCCACCTTCACACAAAGGAGGATGATGCTGGTTGTCTTGGGCACCAGTGTGCCACCAAACAGGAGTGGGGGGGGGGGGGGGAGATCTAAGCTGGCGCGTCTGAGGGTGGCTGTCATGGCCTGGGATTCAGTTGGTTCAAAAGTTACTTTCCACGTAAGGCCCCACTCAAGCAGTCGGTCAATGGGCACCTGGAGTGACTGCACTGCTGGGAGGTGACTAAGCTGTATAAGGTTGTGTCATCATCATAGGCCTCCAAGCTGGCGCCGTCAGCGAGAACGTCTGGTGCGTCGTAGACGGACGCCAGGAAAAGCGTTGGACCAAGAATGCTTCCCTGGGGGACTCCAGCGGAGGTCGTATACGTAGCTGACGTACGCCCTCCAGCAAGGCACTGTAAGGGACGGGTGTCCAGGTACGAGGCCAGCCATCTCTGAAGCGGACCATCGATGCCTAGGCTACGCACCTTGTGGAGGAGGCCGACATGTGAGACACGGTCAAACGCTCCTGCGATGTCCACAGCAAGGATATGAGCCGCCCCTCCACAGCCCACAGCGCTTGCCCAGGCAGTTCGGAAAGCTTGCAAAGCGTCTGATGTTCCGAGTCCTTTGCGAAATCCAAACTGGTGCGACGTGAGCAGATCGTGGTCCTCAAAATAGTGTACGATGTGTTGCCAGCCTCTGCAAAAACGCCGTCACCAACTTGCTGACACCTGACCAAACCTGTGCCGTGCATTGCGATCGTCTGGCCCTGCGAGTTGCTTTAGTGTCACTACCTACAAACATTGTCAGTCTTTGCTCGCCAGCTACTTTAACTACACTGCCAAACAAGTGTTTGAACACAATTTGAGAAGATGATTGCCACAGGTTCATGAATGAAATGTGGCTTGAACGCGCTCCACAAAAACCTTTTTTCATATCCGTCTTTCCTCATCTTTTACGAAACTCAAAGACGTTATTAGCTGACAGATATCGTTTTGTGCCTTGTTGTCGCACTATCTCACTGTATATTATCACGTGTGTATCATGCGATGCTTCAAAGCTATTCCATGAGAGAGATAAATTTAAAGAACAAGTTAAAGGTATGCCCAACCAGGTAGACAGTCTGATGTAGAGACATATATACGACTTCTTGAGTGGCAAATGACATATATACGACTTCTTGAGTGGCAAATGACATATATACGACTTCTTGAGTGGCAAATGACATATATACGACTTCTTGAGTGGCAAATGACATATATACGACTTCTTGAGTGGCAAATGACATATATACGACTTCTTGAGTGGCAAATGACATATATACGACTTCTTGAGTGGCAAATGACATATATACGACTTCTTGAGTGGCAAATGACATATATACGACTTCTTGAGTGGCAAATGACATATATACGACTTCTTGAGTGGCAAGTGACATATATACGACTTCTTGAGTGGCAAGTGACATATATACGACTTCTTGAGTGGCAAATGACATATATACGACTTCTTGAGTGGCAAATGACATATATACGACTTCTTGAGTGGCAAATGACATACAGTCAGTATCGCCTATAGCGTTGGTGTTTGATTTTGAGCATTTTATCACTATAAGCGATATATTACTATGACCGATACTGCATGCAATGTATGCGAGTGGGGTGTCAAACGACTCAGCGCGCCGTGCACATACGCACTACATACATGTACATGTACAATGTCATGTAGCTGGCTGTAGCTCCTGACACAGAAAATCAGCATTTCCTCATGATGGAGGCATATTTTGGCAACTTGTACGAGCAAAACTCACCAAACAACACTCACTGGACAAGTTCTTCACGAAGAAGTACCACCCTGTTCTCCTCTAACATCGCTTGATTTTACATCAATCACTATAACCAATGCAAAAAAATGTAATAAAGGTCTTTTGAAATAAGAATTTGATCACTATAGGCGATATATTACTATAGACGATTATTACTATACGCGATAACTGTGTATACTTAGTTATGGCAAATGAAAATGAATTTGAGAAATTGATCACTATATCCGGTATATTACTATAGCCGCCAACCTTATAGGCGATACGGACTGTATATACGACTTCTTGAGTGGCAAATGACATATACAGTAAAACCTGTAACTAACGACCACCCCTTGGTGCCCGGAAAAGTGGTCTTTAGTGGCAGGTGGTCTTTAGTTAGAGGTTTGCACCGCGTGACCATATATGGATCCCATTATATGATATGTATGTCAAAATGCAGATAATACAATCCCCCCACCACTTGCGCACTGACATTCTTCTTTCAGATCATACAACACTTGGAGAGAGAGAAAATCAAGTTTTATTGCAGACATTAAATTCAGCTCCTACTTCTGAAGCCAGGAGTCAAGAGTTCCCTGTTGAAGCTTCTCTTTGCGCTGGGGTGTACCAGTACTCTATCTACATGTACGTGATGCGGCGATGTTGCGAGTTTTCGCACCTTCACTGTAGACTATAGTATCCGCCATCGTATCCTGGCCCGTGTTCCGTACAGGTGAGTACATAATACTGTAGCATGCTAGCTAGCCAGCACAGACTGTCAGTGTGACCTAGCTGGTGACTGAGCTGTGTGATTGCACTTCGACAGAGAGCCGCTCAGTCTTAGTTTCTCCTTCGAGTAGTGACATCGATCAAAGAGCGCTTTGGATGTGCTCTCCAAGACGTTTCCTATCATGTTTGTTCTTGACAGCACTTGAAATTATGCAGGTGTAGTGCAGTCCACACTGATTCCACAGTCAAAATGAGACTGCGTTCATTTGTCCAGATGTAGTATCGAAACAGTCCTTTCAGGACCATGGAAAATCATCAACATTTTGAGAAGGAGCTTCGAGCAATGTTTGATTTCCTACATCGCGGTCGCTAGTTACGGGTCAAAATTCGACATTGGGACAAGAAAAGGCGGTCGCTGGTCGCGTTCAGCAGGTAGTCGCTAGTCACAGTGCATTTTGAATGTGAGACCGTCCGTGCCTGACGAAGTGGTCGGTAGTACCAGGCCGGTCACTAGTCACGGTGGTCGTTAGTCACGGTGGTCGCTAGTCACGGTGGTCGCTAGTCACGGTGGTCGCTAGTCACGGTGGTCGCTAGTCACGGTGGTCGCTAGTCACGGTGGTCGCTAGTCACGGTGGTCGCTAGTCACGGTGGTCGTTAGTTACAGGTTTTACTGTATACGACATCTTGAGTGGCAAATGACATATACAGGTCGTCCCTCGTTTATACATAATCTCTGGGACTTGACAAATGTTATGTATTAACGGGGTTTATGTACTAAACGAAAGTGTACATAACTTGCCTGTGTACCAGAATTTTTCACTTTTTTCAACTTTTCTGAGTGTTTCTTGCTAATAAATTCTACTACTACTACTATTCTACTACTACCATGACTAGGGAGGGAGATATTCTTGATTCCCTCGATATAACATAAAAATTATGTTATAACAGTCACAGTCAGCAAAGATTCTACGGTTCACATGATACATGCCCAGCCGTGCGGGTACAGTCACTCGGAAAAAAGTAGAGTTTTGTCGGTTTGTCATGTGCGCTTTGATTTCTGAGCTAATTGTAGCGGGCCGCAGTCTCTCTCGGAGGCAAATGCACACGGGTCTCAGTGAACACACTGTAACTGGCAATTGAAATGTACTGGCAACGAAATTAACTAACTGGCAACTAAATTAACTGATTGGCTACTAAATTAACTAACTGGCAATAAAAGAATCGTGAGCAGCAGCTTTAATACAAAGGCAGACTCCGTACGCTAATGTACGGGGATACGCTAACGTATGGGAATACAGTACGGGGATATGCTAACGTACGGGAATACAGTAACATACGGGATATGCTAACGTACGGGGATACGCTATACGCTACACCTCCCCTCTCAAATACAATCACGTCCTCGTGATTCGAATACTTGGTGATAGCTGGACACCAACAACTGGCTGTTATTTAAAAAAAACTGGCGGTATGCATGGTCGCGTCGGAATAAACTCGACGATAAGAGATAGGCAGAATGGATGGATGACTTGAACAATATAATACAGGTATGGAGTCGTGAACATTATAGTAGATCGCGAATTACTGGGAGAGCGTCAACCGGAGTATGGCAAATAATATCGGAAATGATAACGTTTGGAATAGACAGAAGAATGAACTGATAAACAAATCATAAAGTAGAAGCACACCAGGTTCACACGATCTCACGGGGTCAAAAGGGGAAAGAACGGTCCTCAAAATAGGACCTGAAAAACCACAGCACTCTTGCTGCACAACGCTGGCACAACCCGCCAGGAACATTGCAGTTCAAAAACCGAACTGAATACACTATACTATAATAATATCACTATTCACTATACGGGGCATTGTCACACACATTGTCCCAGGTTAGCTGGGTAGACCGTGGCTCACCATGATCAGACGCCTACCAAACTAAACTGGATTCACACACTCGCATAAAGGAAGACTGAAGAGAATAGGAAGACTGAAGGAAGATAGGAAAGAAAATGCCATACCTGGAATTAGCGTCAGTAACCACGGCGGCGGCTGGAGCTACGGCGAAGGGCGAGCCAGGTTTTATCGTCATCTTGGTTGAGCCGGTCATTCAGAGCGGCTAGCTCGGCGTAAGACAAATAACCTCCCTCCTCGTCTTGAATCGTGGTCTTCACATTGTCGATAGCATCGCTTTGCGCGACGTAAAGAATGATGGTCTAGCCAGGAAGAGTGTTGACGAAAATCTGCATTCCACCACGGAGACGAAGTACCAAGTGAATAGTGGACTCCTGCTGAACGTTGTAGTCAGTCAGGGTTCGGCCGTCTGCCAACTGCGTGCCGGCGAAAATCAAACGCTGCTGGGTTTGGGGAATAAACTCCTTGTCTTGGTCAGCAGCCTGCCTGTCGTCGTCTGCATCAGCTTCGCCATCACCACCGGTAGTATACATGTAGGTAGCGGGTCGCTTGGAATCGCCATCGGAGTCTCCAGTGTGTGCCGTGCGGAGAGAAGGGTGATCCACGCTAGCACCCTGACTGTGCTGCAGGCTAATAAGCAGGGCCAAGCCCAGGAAGGCAAGAAACATGATTCTCATCTTGATTCGTCGCACGGAGCTGTAGCGGGTTGAGCCATGGGGTCCGAGAAACGTGTAAAGTAACACAGTTAGGTATAGAATAAAACAAAATGAATTTACCGCTGCCACCAATTTGTAGCACGTAAAACAGGTGGGGTCGAATCTGACAAAGTTGACTATAACCACAGCTGCCACCAATTTGTAGCGGGCCGCAGTCTCTCTCGGAGGCAAATGCACACGGGTCTCAGTGAACACACTGTAACTGGCAATTGAAATGTACTGGCAACGAAATTAACTAACTGGCAACTAAATTAACTGATTGGCTACTAAATTAACTAACTGGCAATAAAAGAATCGTGAGCAGCAGCTTTAATACAAAGGCAGACTCCGTACGCTAATGTACGGGGATACGCTAACGTATGGGAATACAGTACGGGGATATGCTAACGTACGGGAATACAGTAACATACGGGATATGCTAACGTACGGGGATACGCTATACGCTACACTAATTTCGTCCACAAGTAGAAACTAGAACACGATGTGCCTCCACTGGAAGGCCAAAAGACCAACAAATTATGTACTATTGAGGTAGGTGGCATGCGGGTACGGAGAAATGTTATGTACTAACGGGGTTTATGTACTAACGAATTATGTACTAACCGACATAATTTGTATGGAAGTGATCACGTTTGGTCCGGGACTTGAGATTTCTTATGTACTAACAGGGTTTATGTACTAACCGGACTCGTATTAACGGGGGACGACCTGTATATGACTTCTTGAGTGGCAAATGACATATATACGACTTCTTGTGTGGCAAATGACATATATACGACTTCTTGAGTGGCAAATGACATATATACGACTTCTTGAGTGGCAACTGACATATATACGACTTCTTGAATGGCAAATGACATATATACGACTTCTTGAGCGGCAAATGACCATAAAATCAGCAGATTAAAGATCAACATGGAAACCAACACCAATAGTCGTAGAGCAGCATACCTGTACATTGGCCCCCGTCTCCAGAGTAACCGACAATGCATCGGCATGTGAAGCTACCATCCGTATCATTACACGTGGCACTGTTATGGCATGTATGACTTCCACCAACACATTCGTCAAAATCTGCAGAAAGACAAAAATAATCAATATTGTGACAACTGTTGCACGTTGAAACACTGCAATCCCTTGCTTAACCAGTGTTGTCAGTGTGGGACAAACATTTATAACATTTCAGCCTTTGGTATAATAATCTTGACCATTCTCATCTTTTGCAAATGGCAGGTAAACCTAACAATTGGAGGTATGGGCATTCGCAAAAACCACGTTATCTATTTTGAAAAGAATAATTGTCACCATCTGAGTTATGCACCCTGTGATGGCAAATGTGCCAAACAGCGCCTCCTTCTGCAAGCTAAAATGCTTCCTCTGCAGTCCAATTCTTTCTTGCACAAAGTCATGAGTCGAGGAGATTGCTCCACTTAGCGCAGCCACAATCACTACAACGACCTTGTCCCACACTGGCCACAAACACTACAACGACCTTGTCCCACACTGGCCACATCTGTTCTACCTAACTCTTGAGGGTTTGGCATTTCTGTATTTTGCTTTCACAGACTTTCGGTGGATGTTCCTCTACAGGAGGGCACTTACATGCAGAAACAATGCCTCATATTTGCCCTTGATAAAATTACCTCGTCTGTTTGCTCCAGAGGCCGCTACTGTTGGAATTGGCACATGCCAGTAGTTCGACACATCCGTTTCAGTACTGTAGATGACGCAAGTCAGTTGGTTGCTTGTGTATGTATTTGAAATTGAAGTAGAGTAACCCTCTTGCGCATGTTGTACGTAATGTAATGATTGATACGTACTTTCGATATTGATTTCGCTGGTGCACACGTTGGTGCAGTGCTGGTACACGCGCTGGTGCACGCGCTGATGCACGCGCTGGTGCAGCCAGTTGTTTTCCGTTGTACGTGATGCAGCTTGTTGAGGAGAAGGGTTTTCAATATCTTGTGTTCAGTTCTTCTTGCTTCTGGCCTGGTCGAGGTCGTGCTTTTTTCTTCTGTAAACTTCTTGTGCATTTTGGAATTGAAATTAATAATTATAGTCCAACTTATATCCTTGCGCTGGTCTGGTGGTGGATAATTCCACAACAACGTGGTACCGAAACCCGGTTTTGAGTGGACCGTTGGCGCTTTGTGGTTAGGTTCTCGGAGAGTATTAATTTTGTTATTTCACTGCCTGTTTCAGTAGTAATGGCGTCGTCTGCTGGACATTCCTTGTTGCGGCCGTATCGTGGAGGAGATGACGACCTGGAAGCGTTCTTGCTCAAATTCCGCGTGGTGTCACGGATACAGAAATGGACGTTGGAGGCTAAAAGAATGGACCACTTTCCTTTATTCCTAGACAAGGACGCGTTCACTGTTTGGAGTGCGCTGCCGGACGTCGAGCAGACCAGTGAGGAGGTTGTCCATGGTGCGCTCCGAGCCGCTTTCTGCATCACGCCAGCAGAGGCGTATAAGAAGTTTGTGGCAAGAACTCTTCGTCGGGGAGAGAGCGTTGACGTCTACTTGGCCGACTTGAGGAGGTTTCTCCGCCAGAGTGGTCATGTGGAAGCGCGTGACACTTCGTCAGGGAAGTCGTGTGACCCAGTGCTCCTGGAGCAGTTTCTGCTCGGCATTCCGCAGGCACTGGCATGTCAGGTGCGCCTCCAGCATGCTTTGCACTGTATGACTGTGGATCAGTGTGCGGATCAAGTTCGCGTGTTGGTTTCTGCAACCCAGGTGTCGGCTGCACCAGTACAGGGTGCACGTTCTGCGGCATTTGCAGCGACGTCGTCTAGTAGCAGCGGACCTAGCAAGCGGTCTGTGTTGTGTTACCGGTGTAATAAGGTCGGCCATATTCAGCGGAATTGCCCGCAGCTACCTAAGTCACCAGCATCCGGCGAGCCTGTTTGCTATGGTTGCAAGGAGCGAGGCCACGTCCGCAGTGCGTGCCCCCAGCGGAAGGGGTGTGCTGGAGCAGCTGCAAGTGAGGATGTCGGCCATGTCTGCGTCGCGTCGGAGATTGATGGGCCCGCAGTAGCGTTGCCACGGATCTTCTTGCCTGTGAAGCGTTGTGATGCGGTGGCGTTTCGGCGTTGTGTTGCTGCCATCGACTCGTGCTCAACACACACGTTGGTGTCTCGTCAGTTGGCAGAGGACTTGGCACTGGAGGTGACGACGTCAACGCCTGATATCATCACCGTTGACGGCAATACACTCAAGGTATTGGGCTCGGCTGTTCTGGATGTCGAGCGGGTGGACGAGACGGTATTTCTGCCTTTCTCGTCTGTGTCTGTATCAATTGTTCCGGAGTTGAGTGTTGTGAATGCGGATGTGCTTCTGGGCCTCAACCTGATATCGCAGCATGGCGGAGTCGACCTCAAGTACGCGGACTCCAAGCTCGTCGGAGCATCTTTCGGTCAAGCAGCTTCAGCTTCCGCAGATGTGCCCAGTTCGGACGTGCGCAATGATGACGGTGATTCGCCTCAGCTGCTACGCCATGTTACCGTGGAGCATGACGGGGAAGATGTCATTCTGACCACTGCGGATGGGTCAGTTCGTTGGCGCGCTGATGTTGGCTACTGGGAGCTTACGTGGGCATGGAAAGACGAACTCCCCACTCGTCCAGTCGGGTCAGGCATTGGTGAATATTCCCAGCATAGCCTGTCAACAGACCAGGAGGCACAGTTCTGCGAGGAAGTGGACATGTGGATCCGCTATGGATGGTTGGTACCCCATGACCAAGCAGTCCATGGTGAGCCTGGTGCTGTGTTGCCCTTGTTGGCGGTGGCCCAGACGCACAAGGAGTCCACCCCTGTCCGCCCGTGTTTGGACTACCGGCAACTCAACAAGTTTATTGTGTCGCATCCAGGTTTGGACGTGCCTGTTTGCCAAGAGAAGTTGCGTCAGTGGAGGTCTATTGGCAACGCCGGCAGCCACGTGTTGCTGGACATCAGCAAGGCTTACCTCAACATCCGCATCGCGCCAGCTCTCGCCAAGTTCCAAACGGTCATCTGGAAGGGCCAGCTGTTTGCAATGGAGAGGATGGGCTTCGGTCTATCGATTGCGCCCAAATTCATGGACATAATCGTCAAGTGGGTCCTCCGTGCGTATGCTGATGTGGACAACTATGTCGACGATTTGTATGTTCCGAAGCCTCGTCTGCGTGCTGTCACCGATCAGTTGTCGCAGTATGGGTTGCCCACCAAGCCAGCGGAGCCAGTCGTCTCTGCTACGGTACTTGGTCTGCAGCTGTCAGAGTCTGCAGATGGCCAAGTGAGGTGGAAGCGTCGTGGTGACGTCATGCCGACCTGTCAGCCCGATGCCATCACACGACGCGAGATTTTCAAGTGGTGTGGCAAGCTGACCAGCCACTATCCCGTCGGCTCCTGGCTGCGCCCAGCGTGCAGTTATCTGAAGCGTCTGTCTAGCCTTCAGCCTGGATGGGATGATCCAGTGTCTCATGAAGTCGTCGCTTGTTGTGCGGAAGTCATTCACCGTCTGCAGACCGATGACCCTGCGCAAGGTGTGTGGTCAGTTCCTGAAGGCGCACAGTGGTCGTTGTGGTGTGGTGCTTCGGACATCGCACATGGTGCTGTCATTCAGGCCGATGGTATGATCGTCGAGGATGGCTGCTGGCTGCGGCAGAAGGACGACCGGCGACACATTAACATCGCTGAGCTTGACGCCGTGATCAAGGGATTGAACCTTGCCGTGCAGTGGCAAGTGAAGGAGCTCACGCTATTCACCGATTCCAAGACTGTGGCTGCTTGGTTGCAATCGGTGCTTGGCAATGTGTCTCGTGTTCGCGTCAGCGGCCTGCAGCAGGTACTTGTGCAGCGCCGTCTCCAGATTATCACTGATCTCGTCGCTGTCACGGGCTTGACGGTCAAGGTCCAGTGGATCAGCAGTCAGCAGAACAAGGCGGATCAATTGACCCGTGTTCCCAGCAGCTGGATCCGATGTGGCAAGACGCTCCTTGCTCGGACTGCACCGTCCGTCACCGCTGCGGTGGTGACCGTTGGTCCATTCTCATTGGACAGAGTATCTGCTGCTCAGAATGCAGATCCTCGGATTGTTTCGACTCGCCAGCAAGTCATCGATGGTGACCCAGTTACTGATCCTGCGTTTGTCAAGGTCAAGTCACAGCTCGTAGTCCATGATGGTATGCTGTGTCGAAGTGTGAAGTTGCCGCCCAATGATGCAGTCGTCATTCCTGTTATTCCTAGTTCACTCGAGTCCGATGTCGTTCGTGCTGCTCATGTGAACTGTGGTCATGCGTCTTGGGAGGGTACATGGCGCTTCCTCCGCTCGAAGTGCTATTTCCCGAACATGGCTGCCCAATGTCAGCAGTTTGTGCGCCACTGTTCGCCGTGTGCTGCTGGTGGTGAGAAAGTGGTGGATGTTGAACTGCTGAAGCGTGATGCTGTTGCTGATGTGCCTGCTGCAGATGCTGTTGCGGATGTGCCTGCTGCAGATGCTGTTGCTGATGTGCCTGCTGCAGATGCTCTTATTGATGTGCCTGCTGCAGATGCTGTTATTGATGTGCCTGCTGCAGATGCTGTTGTTGATGTGCCTGCTCCGGGTGCTGTCCCTGATGCTGGGTCTGGGTTTTATCCCCGTGATCCTAATTATGTGCCGCTTCGAGCCCCTGCCGATGATCCTGCTCCGTATCAGTTTCGCCCATATGGCCTCCGTCAGCGTGGTTCGCTTGCACCCCCTCAGCGCTTCCGTTAGTTTTGCTTTGTGGCGCTATTTAGTTTTTGTGGTGGTATTTTCTTTGGCATACCACCAGGGGGAGAGGTGAAGTAGAGTAACCCTCTTGCGCATGTTGTACGTAATGTAATGATTGATACGTACTTTCGATATTGATTTCGCTGGTGCACACGTTGGTGCAGTGCTGGTACACGCGCTGGTGCACGCGCTGATGCACGCGCTGGTGCAGCCAGTTGTTTTCCGTTGTACGTGATGCAGCTTGTTGAGGAGAAGGGTTTTCAATATCTTGTGTTCAGTTCTTCTTGCTTCTGGCCTGGTCGAGGTCGTGCTTTTTTCTTCTGTAAACTTCTTGTGCATTTTGGA